GAAAGGCCGACCTCCTAGATCCTTCTGGCTGAACTGCCTTTCCCTTCAACTTCTTGATCGCCTGGGGGACGTCCCAATCCTCGTCTTTGCTGTGCACTGAACGCACATCCCCGTCCGAGGTCACCTTTGTCTGTGACCTACGGGACCGGCTCCTTCTAGACCGGGATGGACCAGCTTTATCCATCTCCCCGATCAGGTTTGTCGGAACGATCGGGCGAATGACGTTAGTTTGAGGCGAGGATTGTGGATACAATCCCGGATTGAAAAGTGAAAACCCTCCCGGCTGCTGGAACATGGACATGAAATGTCCAAAATTCTGAAGAGCCTGGCTGTACATTGGATCAAGGGGTCCGGGGAAATTTGAAGGAAAAACGGGAACAGGGTTCACGGGGGAAGTGAATGGGATAGGTGGTGGAATGGTGATTATGGGGGTAGGAACCTGGCTTGACGGTTGGGAACTTCCTCCCGGGAATGAAATGACATTCTCAGCGGGAGTAGAAATTTGTGAGATCACGGTTTCCTGATTACTGGCCATGACTTTTTTCTAATAGGTCCCACGGTCGGCGCCAATTTGATGGTGTAAATTACCACGCAAATATTAAGTGTGAGTAATCGGAAGGGTTGTAGGTGAAATCACCTGTAACCCGGTTTGTTATTAATGATAATAGGAGTTATTACAAATACAAGCCGTGTAGGTTAATTAAAACATGCCTCACAAATGAGGCTTTTAAGGGTATTTATAATAATCCTAAGCACGTCTCTGATTATTCAACCGGTCAGGCAGCTGGCCGGCCCACCAGGTGCACTTGAGTAAATCTTCGGGTATTGGCATCTGGTCTCCTCATCCAACCGGTCAAATAACCCGGGCTGAAAAAGACGCGTGCTGTTCGGTGAACCAACCGGGTGGTATCCTTGGATTATTACCCATCAGTAAGTAACAAAAAAACGTAATGTATATTTATAAATTAAGATATAACATGTGTATAAAAACGGTAACTAAATATTGAAAAAATTAATCGCTATAAGGAATAGAATAAACAAAAAAATTTGCCTTCTCTACATTGTAATTATAAAAATCAGAAAAGGAAATTAGAATAAGCAAAAAAATTTATTGTATAAATAAGATCAATTATAAACACTTTCGCATATGTTGCAATTTCAAGAATAACAAATCGTAATAACTTGAAGATTCTGATATACAATGAAGATAATGTACACACAAATTGTACGTATAATATAGTTTATAAAGAGATTTTTCAAAATTAGCAAATCAATAAACTTTTATAAATTAAAATAATAAGATCTCTATATTTTAGTAGATATCAATTTATATCATTCAAAAATAATTTTAATTTAATAATGTAAATATGAAATATTATATGGACATTCCCAAATCCAATCGCGCGTAAATCACAATTAGTCGACTTCGAGCTTCCCAGTCGCATCGATTCCAGGTTTCAAGCCGATCGGCAATCAATTTTTCATCTTCCTCTTCATCGCCTCTATCTCTCTCAGTCGCGTCGCATCAGAGCATCACAGAGTATCAGTCGCGTAGCCTCTATCTCTCTCTATCGGGTAAGATTTTGTATTTTTAATTCTTTATCACTTAATCTCGTAATTTAATTTATTTTTTTTTGAAATTTGCTTCATTAAACTATTAAAGTAAAAAGAATATATTATACTCTTTATTTTTAAATTTTCTTCAGTTTTTTTAATTTTTAATTTTTAATTTTTAATTTTTTTGGCTGATTTCAATTATCTTTTTTTCCTAATTTCAGTTAAAATTTGTTTTTTTTGTTATTTTAGTATTTTGAGTTAGGAAGTTAATTTAATATTTATTATCTCTTGTGAAATAATTTTATATTTACTTTAGAACAAATGGGAGATAATAATGTTTGTGACTATGCGGTCCATCCAAGGACCCCAAAGAAATGCCAGCTCTAATGATTGAAGGATATTATAATTTATCCTTCGTTATGTAATTTTATTTTGGGTGAATGAAGATATATATATATATATATATATATATATATATATATATATATATATATATATATATATATATAATGTTAAAAATTTCAATACTAATTGTGATTTGTCAACTAGTCTAGGAGTAATAGGCCGACTAGTCTATTAGTCCACTAGTCTCCCCTTCACCGACTCGACTCGACTTGTCGACTTAATAACCATGATTTCAATTGCTTATCTGCTTTGCTCACCAATCCGGACCTAATAATCTCACGGTTCTGATTAAATAGATAGTCCATTTTATTCTTATTTCTCTCCTGAAAACTCTTTATTAACTGAAGCTCTCTCTATTCAACTAGACACACACACAAACACAGACACACACACACACACAAAACACATACACACATGCATGTGCAGATGTTATAAAGTTCTTTGCTTATTTGCTATAATGTGTGTGCCTAGTTGAATAATAAGAATGGATGGGAATGCACAAAACATCAAAAAGTGGATTGTGGTATACCCCGTGTATATAAATTCGAAGAAGACGATCGCTGAGGGGAGGCGGATCAGCGTGAGCAAAGCTTGTGAAAATCCTACTTGTGCTGAGATTCATGATTGCTGTAGACACCTTAAACTCCTCAGCGCTATTGAGGTTTGCTTTATTTTTAAATTTTGTTTTCATTATTTCTTTAAATGCTTTTGTAAGTAGTTATTCGATGAAGTACCATAATCAAATATGAGAGGGCTTCACTACTATTATCATTGTTGATATTTGTTTTGCCCATCTGCATATCTTTTTATAAAGTTTGATGTGCATTGAAACACAACAACTAAGCCTTATCCCAAGTAAATTGGGGACAGCTACACGCATCAAGAGGAGAATCATGTTTGGCCATTCTAAAAAATGTTCTCTTTTCATTTTTTTCTATTCATTACCACATATTTTCCAAATTCAGATATGACAAATCGCTCATAATCACCTCCTTACATGCCTTTTATGGTTTCATTTTTCCTCTTTTGAATGGAAGGAACCAAACATAGCCTAAACTGCATTGAGTTTTCTGCAAGTTATGCAATTCGAATGTTCATTACTTTTTGTAAAATGAGAACAGTTGATACAATTATGAGATTCTGTTGTTTCTTTAGGCTTCATAGTTTTTAATGAGGCACATATTTACTTGAGAGCTTCTAAAATTTTTAAATTTTAAGCTAAGAAGTTTATTTATTTCTCTTTAGCCCATAGTGACATTTCCTTCACTCCATCCTAAATCCTAAATCCACCCCTACTTTTAACATTTGATAGTTTCTTGTTTGTTCAATAGTGAGGAGATTATTGGTTATGAGAAATGATTATGTATATGCATGTGATTGTCTTAACAGATTGATAAGGCATATCCACGTGACTTTATGCAAAGAGGGAGAGTGCGAGTTTTGCTTAAAAAGGAAGATGGTACTCTGTTTAATCCATCCATTTCTTCTAGTAAGTATATGCCTCTCTCCCTACTCACTTGAACTTGTTGTGTAGCTTGTGTCTATATGGCCAGTTCAAACATGTTTTTATCAGAAGCGCAAATTCATCAAATAAGGCTGCTTGATGCATATTGCATATTCATCATTGCAGTTACCATCTGTGGTTTCCATGCCAGTACGATATGGACTTGCATCAAACACCACAAATACAGCTTAGACAAAAATAACCAGGGACAAAAAAACTTGTATGATTGAGTATAGATAGCTTTTTGAGTGGAAAAGTTTATATGGACACATAGCAATGCTCCTATAGAGAGACTAGCTTTCTACTCGGAGCCCTCTCATCATCCAAAAGATTATACTCCCTCCGTCCAAGTTGAAACTTCCCATTTTGACTTGGTGCGGTTTTTAATGTTAAGTGAAAAAATGGTTGACTTTCCCATTTTATCCCTCCCTAGACCCCACCCCACCCCTTCTCTTGCTTCTTCGTCGGTCACCCACATCTCCCTCCCATGTTTCGATTTTTTTTCTTTCATTCTTTGTTCTTCATCATCTCGACCCCCATTCCAAATCTAGATCTACCATATCAAGGAATTGTTTTTGAGTAGACAAAATCAAGAACTTTAAGTTCCAAATCTACAAAATCAATCAAAAATAAAAAATTAAATTTCTTCCACCTCAACTCCCCTCCTTCCATCACAAACCTTTCTTCTTCTAAGAAATTGAAAAAGAAATCTTTGAAAAGACGAAGAGAAGAAACAGTGAAGAAGCCAAAAGTCGAGTCTACAGTTTTTTACTCACTACCGCCGCAATCTCCGCCGCTCCTCTTTGCCACAGCCTCCGCCGCCCCTCTCCGCCGCAGCCGTCGTTGCCTCCCTTGCTGCAGTCTAGATCTGAAACCTTTGTCAGGGGAGGGGAGTCAGAAGAAGCAAAAAGAAACAAACGGCCAAAAAGAAGAAGAAAAATAAGAACAGAGGTGACGAAGAAAGAAAAAAGGTCTGGGATCTGATGAAGAAGAAGAAGAAAGAAAATTGAGGGGGGGGGGGGTAGGGGGCTTTCACGATTCAGGAATAAGAAATGAGGTGGGAGTTGGTAGAAAGAAGACTGTAAAGAAAAGAAAAAGAAGGGTGTATTGGTCTTTTTGGCAAAAGTTATTCGCCAAATAAGGAAATAGGAAGAATCAAGTGGGACAGCCCGAAAAGGAAAGTGAGAAGAAAGATATGGGACTGAGAGAGTATAAATAAAACAACCAATATTCCCCTACCCCTCAGCCTCTCTCATTATAATAGAATGAAATCTGGTATTTCTTCTAACAAACTCCTGCAGCATAACCTCTCTGCTAGCTTAGCACCTTTCTCATGGTCCTTCATATTCCTATGAGTATGCACTTTCCGAATGCCACTAGAACAAGGATACCCTAAAAGTGTAATTGGGTTCATAGTATCCCTAGAGGCTCTATCATTGCATTCTCCTTCAAAAGCAGCCTTGTCTTCAAGGCTGATGTGAGGTTATACAGATTGTGACTTCACCATCCCATGTTTCTGGAGCAGGTTTCCCCCTCTACTCAATGAGCCATTGAGTGGAAGTCTCTCCGTTAGTAATCTACCTTGTTAGGATCATGGCAGGCAGTGGATTTGTAGTACGTTTGCCATCCCGTTCCTGTGTAAGCTTGGACGGCACATGATAATCATCCGCCATCTTCTCAAGCAAGGAAACATTAAATACATGATGAATCCATGAATGTGGGGGCAGAAGAAACTTATATGCCACGGATCCTATCTTTTTAGTACCTAATAGGGACCATAATATTAATACCTGGCTGCCAGCTTAGGATTGACCCTAGCTGTTAAGAATTGTTGGTGATGTGGATGCAACTTCAAGAGCACCCAATTGCCCTCTTCAAAGTAACAGTCCAACTTCTTAGTATCTGCTTGATTTTCATGCAGATCGGTGTTTGCAACAGATGGTGCTTCATATTTCTCAATGCTTCGTCATGATATACAAACTCTCTGTTCACAGCAGTAACTCGTGTTTCTCGGCTTTCTCCTTGATAAAAATGAACAAAGGCTTGATGTTTTTGTCGATACTGTGTTTTAGAAGGTGAAGTACTGGTGGAGCCATGGATGGCAGTGTTATTCCAAAATTTGTCTAATGCAACCAATGGAATCAATTTAGGCTGATCTGCATTGGAGCATCACATGTGCGTCTCTAAAAATCAATTTATCTCTGCTGTTTGTGCATGCGTTTAAGGATGGTAAGCTGTGCTCATTTTA